GACGTTGAACGCCTTGTATCAGGGCAACCCCCCCAATCTGCATCGGTGTAGGAGATAAGGGACAAGGTAGAAGATGGATATAAGTGTAGCCCATGATCCTTAGTACCTTGAACATAGCGAACTATTCGCTTCAGAGCAGCCATATGACAGTCCTTGGGATCGTGCATATGCAAACAGACCTGCTGAACAGCGTATGAAATGTCTGGCCTCGTGAATGTTAGATATTGCAATGCCCCTGCCAAGCTGCGATAATGAGTTGGGTTAGCATAGGGAGTGCCGGACGAACCCACTTTCGGCTTAGTATCAACCGGTGTGGCTGATGGTTTGCAAGCCGTCATACCTGCTCTGTCAATGATATCCTGGGCATACTTTCGTTGTGAAAGAAATAGACCCCCTTTGTGTCGAGTAACGGCAATGCCAAGGAAATAATTTAAAGGACCTAAATCCTTCATTGCAAATTCAGAGCCAAGAAGAGACATAATAGAACACCGGAGAGCAGGAGATGAAGCTGTTAAAATGATGTCATCCACATACAATAAAAGATATGCCGTTTGTGACCCCGACTGATAAATGAATAAAGAATTATCAGACTTGCTGTTAACAAAACCAATGGACAACACATAATCAGCAAACCTTTTGTACCATGCCCGGGGTGCTTGCTTAAGCCCATATAAGGACTTACGCAACAAACACACAGAATCGGGATTAATGCGATCACGAAAACCAACCGGTTGATGCATATACACTGTCTCATTAAGCTCACCATGCAAAAATGCATTCTTAACATCAAGTTGATGAATTTGCCAAGCTTTTGACAAAGCTAGGCTAAGAACAGTCCGAATAGTCGCAGGCTTGACCACCGGACTAAAAGTTTCCCCACAATCAATTCCCACCTGTTGAGTTTTGCCATCACCTACAAGACGGGCTTTATACCTCTCAAAAGAGCCGTATGATTTCACCTTATGAGTAAAAATCCACATAGAACGAATAACATTAACATTAGGCGGACGGGGCACCAACTCCCACGTCTTATTTTTAATAAGAGCATTAAATTCTTCATCCATAGCCATTTTCCAATTAGGGTCACGTAAAGCATCGATAGGGTTACGAGGAATAGGGGATTTCGTAACCTTAGAAACTGTAGCCACATTGCAATATTTTTTATTTGGCTTGAAAATACCACGTTTGCTACGTGTGACCATAGTTGGGCGAGGGGTGGGCTGTGGAGGAATGGACACAGTGGGTTGTGGAGGGTGAGTTGGTGGGCTGTGTGTTGTATTCTGCCCAGAAGAGGGAGGTGAGAAATGTATTGGGCTGGTGGGTGCATTCGGCCCAGCAGTAGGAGGTGGGGGAGGTCCCGGAGATGAGGCAGCCTGCATATGGTGAATAAGATAGGGAGAGAGGCCTTCATCTAAAAACTCATAAGTTGTGGCAGTAGGAGTATGCATCGTAGCAAATGGAAACACGGTTTCATCAAAAAGTACATGACGACAGATGAGAATTTTATTTGAGGAAATATCATAACATTTATAGCCTCTATGGTTTGGAGGGAAACCTAAAAACACACAACGAGTGGAACGGGGTTGGAGTTTATTTATCGTGGTGGAAGGAAAGAGAGGATAACAAAGACACCCAAAAACCCGTAAGTGAGAATATGAAGGTTCCCTGTGATATAGAACACTAAGAGGAGACTTGTTCCCTAACAACTTGCTAGGTAAAATGTTATGTAAATAAGTTGCCATTTGTAAAGCATGATGCCAAAATGATGGTGGTAAAGAGGCATGAGAGAGGAGAGTGCGAGTGATATTATTGAGTGACCTTAATTTTCTTTCGGCTTTACCATTTTGTGAAGACGTATATGGACAAGAGAGACGGAAAGACATCCCATTCGACTCACAAAACTCCCGAAAAGAACTATTATCATACTCCCGCCCATTGTCACATTGGATAGTTTTGATAGGACGCTCAAATTGTGTGCGAATATGAGTTTGAAAAATTAAAAATTTATCAAACACATCTGATTTTTTAGCCAAGGGAAAAGTCCACACAAATTTAGTAAAATCATCCAAAATGAGCATATAATAACGATGTCCCGAAGAACTCAAAACAGGAGATGTCCAAAGATCACTATGTATGATATCAAACGGCAAAGAAGTAGATGACATAGAAGAATAAAATGGTAATTTAATGTGTTTCCCAAGAACACAAGAATGACAAATACCAGAACTTGAAGTTCGATTACATTCAATACTTTTATTACGCTGAAGAGTATGTAGAATACTCGACCCGGGATGACCTAATCGATCATGCCAAAGAGAAGGTGCTAAAGCTGCAAAACTCGAAGGTGAGGAAGAATATTTGGATGTGGTATTGGAGAGAGGATAAAGATCACCCGTGTTATTACATCTCATTATGGGCCTCCCCGTCCGATAATCCTTCACAAAGAAACCATAAGGGTCAAACTCAACAGTTACATTATTATCAGTGGTAAACTTACGAACTGAAATAAGATTTTTTATGAGTTTGGGAGCATGGAGTACATTGTTTAGGGATAAGGGAGGATTAGGGGAAGTGAGAGTAGTATGTCCACAACCATGAATTAGAATAGTATGACCATTACCAACAACAATAGCATTAGGATGATTGCTCAAATTAAAATAAGACGCGAGAGTACCGTTGGAGGATGTCATATGAGAAGTGGCGCCGGTGTCCATGTACCAGGAGGGGTCGGGTTGATGTAACGTCATAGTGTGCATAGCAGACTCAATGTCTGTTGGAGCGTACTGCATAGGCTGAGTGGAAGTTGCATAGACTTGTGGACGAGGACCTAATAAACCAGGCTGCTTAGGTGGGCCTTGAGGTCGTGCCCAGCCCTGATTGGGGTATGGACATGGAGGAGTAGCCCATTGAGGCATCCATCCCCAACCCAGGTACTGTGCCCCCTGAGGCTGTTGCCAGGGTGCCGGAGGATTCTGCCACTGCTGCTGATGTGGTCCAGAGCTTCCACGGCCGCCACCCTTGCCACCGAACCGTCCACCCCTGCCACCAGATTGCTTTCGGGTCACAGAATTTTTCGGCTTTGTGCGGCCACGTGAACCCCCAGTATTATCAGGACCATCCTCAGAATTGTCACGGGACTGAACCACCATGGCCGTCGCAGACCCTGTGGTGGCTTGCTTTGAGAGCAACGCCTCTCAATTGATCGGAGAGACTCTTGAGGTGTTGGCAATAGGCCGAGACGTTTGGAAAATCCTCCATCTTTGTGGTTGAAAATTCCTGTTCAAGAGTCAATGCACGAGAATTCTGATTATCCTGAAATAAATCCCGCAACCTACCCCATGCCTCCATAGTCGTAGCATCTGGTTCGATAATGGTGAGCAATAGGTCGTTGGAGATGGTGGAATAAATCCACGAGAGTACAGCAGCATCCAGAGTAGACCAAGTGTCCTTTTCCTCATCAGTGGTAGGAAGCTTCACCTTCTCCTTAGGCGGAGGGATAATATGGTCTAACACTTTGTGAGAACGAGCATGAATTTTGAATAATTCTGCCCATGTGGAGTACTGAGAGTTTTGCAATTCAAGAACAATAGGAATGTGGTTCTTGATATTGTTGACGGTAAGAGCAGGGTGGAACGAGGATTTTGATTCCCCCATAGCAATAACAGAGAAGAATAGAAGAAGAGAAAATGATAAGAAGCTAGGGTTCAGCGGAAGATAATCGCCCTAGGGGCTCTGATACCATAAAAGAATGTTTTCCGTGAATCTTTCCTTCATAGCTCATTGATATTTATACCCGTATACAAGGAATAATCTTGGCATACATTTAGGCAATAAACTAGGAAACTGATCCTATAAACAAGGTAACAATACATATACACTTTGACTAAGCTAATTATTTACATAATTATCTTAACAGTTGTTGACCCAGAGAGTAGAGGTAATTAATGAGTTCGAAAATCAAAACAATCCCAAATTTCTATATAAAAAATATATGGAGTATATAACTTTATTCTTTAATTCACAAAAAAAAGTGTATGTTTTATTTTGAAAAAGAAGACCGTTTTTCTGTGAACTCTCCAACTTTACTCCAGCTTTAGCATTTTATGTTTAAAAAATAAGATGCTTTTTTTAAAATCATACTCCGTAAAATTTAACATATACACCATATGCCGTCTCATAATTTTCTTCGTATATGAGATTGATTACCAGATCATAAAAAATTTAAAATTAACAAAATTAAAATTAGACCATAATAAAATCGGATTAAAATGAATTAAAACTTAAACAAAAGAAAGCCAAGGAGAATTTTTCTTTTTGGTTTGGTAAATTGGTATGGCCCATGCCAAAACAGACCAGACACATTGGAGAAGGTTTTACCCGTAATGGATCAGCCCCCCCAATTTTAGGAGAGGTAAAAACAAGCCTTCCTCACCATGTGACCCTCTTTTATTAGCTACTTACCCGTCTCTATATTTATTAAATCTCAATTCAATACTCTTTTTGTCTTGTAATATTTATTTTCTTCTAAAAATTATTTTCTAGTTTCTTATATACAAGGTTAAATCTTATTCATTTTTTGATATTGCTTAGTTGCAAATTTGATAATATAGTCATGACACTCTAGTTTTGTAGATAAAATTGTTGGATTTTTTTAGATAAATTAAAGAGTTATTTTACTTTATACTACGATTGAGCAAGTGCCATTCGTTAATACTACGATTTTTTCTCCGTCGTAGATACAATATCATGGGAAGCTGGGAATATGCATATACATATAACTCAATCAAACTTATTTATGAAATTGATGCATATATAGAATTCAATGTGAAAGAACACTTACTATTATTGTCTATATGCGAACCTATCAGTGTTGTAATTAGCACTGTTGTATTTGGACAATTATTGTAATATGACGAGCTTTAATTCGGTGGAAAATTGAAACAATCGAAATTTGTCTATAAATTGCACGTGGTTTATCGTTTCAGTCTTTGATTGTTTCTGTGCTCGAGTCCTTGATTAGTATGCCTTAATTGAGAATCTGCCAAAATTTAACTTTGAACTTCACTATTTACATTTTTTACAAGAGGATCCATACCTCACTTAAAAAACAAAGCCAAATTACGGGGGGTAATGTACTCCACGGAAGGACCAACTGTGCAACACTATTGTCACTTGAAGAACTATCTCGAGACTCTTTAAATTTGAAGAATCAACCGTGCATAATAGATTCACTATTTGAGAACTAAGACAGTGTTTCGTTCAACTTATTTTTTTATGTTTATTACTTATTTTTATTATAATCAGATCAAATCAAATCTTCAAAAAATCTGATCAGATCAGGCGAACGGAACGCAGCCTAACCGTGTAATTTAGCATATATGTTAGACCGAATATATATTGGTCCTAAATACCGAACTAGGCATTCAATTCTAATTTTTTTTTGGTTTAACATATTTTTCAAGAAACCAACTCAACCGAAAACTCAAATTTGTGGTTGTGGGTCAAGAATGACTTTTTTTATATTTTAAAATGCTAACATTTTGATCTAAACTTTACAAGGTTTTTGGGTAACTTTGAGAGATGTTTAGGGTGGAATTTAGTAAAAAAATTTGTTACCTTCGGTCTTTTTTTAAAATGGGAAATTTACCTAAATAGGACTAAAATATAATGACTTTCTCAATATAAGAATATATGTTTTTATTTCCAATGTAGGATCATTGGTCATTATCCATTATTCAAATTAATGTCTACCATCGCTAAACATTATTACTCCCACTAGACATTATTAAGTACTACTCCCTCCGTCCCTGAGTGTTTATCCACTTTCATTTTTGCACACCATCCAATGCACTTCTTTAATCCATTTTATCTTGTAATTTGTATATTAAAAAATTATAAAAATTATATATTAATAATCTATATGTTAAGACGAATCAAACAAGATCACACATGACTAGTTTTAGGCTTACACATTGAGAGAATCTGATGAGTCAAAGTGCTTAGATGAACAGTTTCAAAAGTCAAAAGTGGACAAACACTCAGAGACGGACCAAGTATTTAGAAATACTCCCTCCGTCCCACTGTCTTTGGCCACTTACCTTTTGGCACACCATCCAATGCACTTCTTTAATCCATTTTATCTTGTAATTTGTATATTAAAAAATTATATAAATTATATATTAATAATCTATATGTTAAGACGAATCAAACAAGATCACACATGACTGTTTTTAGGCTTACACATTGAGAGAATTTGATGAGTCAAAGTGCTTAGATGAACAGTTCCAAAAGTCAAAAGTGGATAAAGACAGTGGGACGGAGGTAGTAAAAAAGTTTAAGTTCTATATTGGAAAATGACTTATGTTTTAGTTCAATTTAGTGCAAATTTCACTTTTAAAATTGAGCCGTTATTAACAAAAATTTTCATGGCGTATTAATTTTGATTTCACTGCATAAATGTCAATTACCATACGATTTCTATGTTTTAAAACTTTGTGAAAAAAACAAATTTAAACTTGAATTACGAGAGAGGGCATACTATATGTGGAAAACATAATCATTCCAAGACAAAGTTACCATAGTAGATTGTTGAAAAAAATGTTACCATGGTGTGTTTGTCAAAAGTTCAGATCGGTTGGTAATCCATTAGGATCCGGCGTTGAAATCTTCTTTGGGCATAATTGTGCGATTAACTTTTTTTTCTTAATGCTAATTAAAATGGAATGTGATTCAATAAAGCTAGTTACATTTTTCCTACTAAATTTTTCTGCAATGATGGGAGATTTTATGCATCACCAAACGCTTGATAGATTGATGGCGAGTTTTATCAACTGAGGTTCGACTTTTGAATTTGGTTACCGATGACTAAATTGAGAATAATTATCTAGAGTCTAAAGAGATAAAAAATATAGAAGATTTTGTTTATGAAGAGCATACTTTAGATGAATCCATATTTGTACAAGATGAACGTCTGATTAGCGCAATCCCAAATCTGGCGCGGAGGGACCTCTAGTGCAACATATTTAAAAGTCCAGGAAATATTGATACAATTTTTGAAAAGATCAGAAGTAAATGACGCAAAAAACTCTTAGTAGAAACAATTTTAGAGTCGAATGGAATACTGAATAATCCCAAACAAATCAATGTCATATTATGAGTTTTATGACATTGGCGGTCAATCTCAAAAGAATCGACCAGAAACTCTAAATGGAATATGCTCCTTCCGTCTCCAAATAAATGTACTTCGTAACATGACAAATTTTTTTTTTCACACATTGTAATCAATGTGTAACACAATGTGACAAAAAGTCAAATTATGATATCTTTTTGGGATAGAGAAAGCATATACGGAGAGTGATGCTTATACGGTCCCAAAGTTCACGTTTAAAATGTGAATCTTTTCATATTTATTATGGGTTTGCATGTAAATATTTTCTTTTTTGCAATAGGCCCACTTCTTTAATCATACAAATACACTGAGGTCTATAAATGTGCATGGAAAGGTCCACGGAAAAATTTGTCATATGCTACGGAGCATTCCCTCTGTTTGAAAAATTAGTTCTACCTTCATTTTTTTACGCACTCCACAAAAGACTTCTACTTTCACCTAAATGTCTAATACATACTCTATTTTTGTATTACGGGTAAAAATTATTTTAGGAATATTTTAGAGATGATATAAATGATTTGCAGGATGCGCATAAAATGAAAGTGAACCAATTTTTTTCAAACGAATGAATTAAGAGTCTGTTTGGTACACGGAATTGATCGAATTGGAGTTGAATTCGAATTGAAATTCCAAGGGATTCAATTTCATAGAATTGAATTCACCAATTTTAATTCATTTTTTGCACTATCAATTACAAATCCACATAATATTAGTACTACCAAACATCAAAATTAGAATCGAAATAATCAAATCTAATTTCATAATTTGAATTCCGTATACCAAACAAGACCTAATAGTTTTATTTTAAACCTTCTACGTCATCACTAAATTTTGAAAACAGTAACTCAAAATCAAGTTTGATAGGTAGCTAATTGGTGTTCGCCACTTGCCAAACAAACTCCAGATATTTAGATGGTGAATGGTGACATATGAGCCATAATTATAATTAAGAACAATGAATCTCACCAAAAAAACGAACCAAAAAAGATGAACCCCACACTAGGTTCTCTACTCACTAATCACTATCGTTAAATACGGCTTTGTTTGGTAACAGCGTTTTCGATTAGCGTTAGCGTTTTGGATAAAATTTTAATGGTGCAGATTAATTCTAAAAACGCTAACGCTAAAGGCTACCGTCGGATAGCTTTTTCAAAACGCTAACGCTAATCTCTAACGCTGATGCCAAACGGAGCCTACATAAATCACATTATAATCTTAATCTGATCATTAAAAAATGATATCATGATTAATATGTACAAGAGATGTATGTTGCACATGCTCACTCTCTGACTCTCATTCTGATTGTTAGGATCGGAGTCGAATCTAAATATTATTTCCACCTCCAGATAACTTTTGGAAACTAATACTACTATGTTTGGTTCAAGGAATTTGAGAGGAAAAAGAAAAGAAAATGAGAAAGAAAATATTCTTCTTGTTTGGTTAGAAAGGAAAAGAAAAAAAATTCGAAGGGAAAGAGGACAAGAAGACAAAATATATTAAGAGGAGAGAAAATTAAATTTCTACCACGTTCTAAGTTGAAAGTTATTCCTTTTTGTAATAAAAATGTTTATATGGTGATCGAACTCAAAAACCTTGAAAATTTCATAAAAAACCCTAACACTATGTTTGGTTTAAAAAATTTGGAAGAGAATAGAAAAGAAAATGAGATACAATAAGATACTGGAAACAATTTTCCATGTATGCTTAGAGAGGAAAAAACGTGGAAAGATTAATGAGAAAGAAAAAAATATATAAAAATCATTTTTGTTTCTTTTCATATCAAATTCCTTGGATCAACCTAAACTGTGAGTGTGGTACCACTCCAATTTACGGAGTACTCCCTTTGTCCACCATAGATCTTCCCAGACACTATTCACAGGGTCAAACTTTACTCACTTTACTTGCTAATTTTTACTAGTCATTTCGTAAAATAATATAGTCTTGTCACTTCTAGTTTTGTAGAACTTTTCATGTAGTTTATTACTATATAAATTTTGTTTTAAAATTTTACTCCTATAATCAATTAAATTGAATTGAAAATAAAGTCAGTCAAGCTTCGTAACGCGTAATGGGAAGAACTTAGGTGGACGGAGGGAGTATCATTTATCAACAATGAATTTCACCAAGTTGATCCTCTGATAACATAAGATGCTAGATTTTGTCTACACTGGTGAAACACTAAAGGGCCACCAAAAATAGTGGCAGGCTTTCTATGGTGCTTAGTAGGCCACCACTATATAAGATTTGATAAATATACCGGACAATGAAACGGAACGAGATACTTTTTATTTGTCCTGATCTCGTAATTCTGTTAAGACAAAATTTATTTGTCCCAAATGAAACGAGACTTAGACAAAATTTATTCGTCCCAAATGAAACGAGACTTTTATTATATAAACAAAATCAAAATATTTTGGAACAGAACTGATACAATTTGATAATAATTGGATTTATTGAATAATGAAAGATACATCCATGTATATAGAGATTACAAGAGAGAGTTCCAATCCAAGGACGAGAAGAATTATACTCCCTCTGTTCCAAAAAGATCTACCCATTTAATTTTTTGCGCATCCCATAAAACACTTATACCCACATCTAAAATGCCTAAAATTTACCACATTTACCCTTGATTGTGGGTAGCAGTTGTTTTAAAAAAAATTGTGGCATTTGAGTTGACATAAAATTGTTTTATGAAATGCACAAAAAATGAAATGGGTATATCTTTTTGGGACGGATGGAATATATAGTAACAATATAATAAGAAAATAAAGGAATAAAGAAAGTAATTAGTTATTAATATCCTATTTCCTATTAGCAACAATGTTCCATTTCAATTCATTCTTCAACCTCTTTTGCGTTACAATATATTATCTTCGTCTCTGAATATTTGTCCAGTTTTAACTTTTAATAGTCAATCATTTTTAATATTTGACTTATAACTAAATAAAATTTATAAAGTATATTTAATAGATAAATAATATTTGTAAAATATTATATAAAACAATAATAATACGAGTAATATTATTTTTGTATTAAAAAAAAGTCAAATTAGAATATAAAAACATTTTGTTGACCTAAATCATCAACTTGAATTTTTAGTTGAGGACCTCCTTTCATCATATGATATCAACAAAACTAAGGTTCCATGTGCAAGGTTAGAAGTGCAACACCTACATGTGAGAAAGCTTATTAGGATATAAAAATTATTTCTGAACCTACAATCACAAGCTTAAACTCTTAGTTATCGTGTTTTCTAAATAATTAGGAAAAGAGACTAGAGATAGTGATGAAAATCCAATCCAAACCTAACATTAACCAACTCCTTCGTTCTTAGAATATAATACTCGAATTCAACCTAGTGAATTAAAAATTGAAGTAGGCCCAATGAATTAAAAATTGAAGTAGGCCGGGTTTGGATGTTGTCCATAACCCATCCGAACAACTCGAATTCGATCAAGTCATAAAAATAAATGTGAAATACACTCTTTGTCCCTAAAAATCTTTCATCTTAAATGACTTTAATGGTTTATAAATATTGTATCGGATCTTATTTATTGTATATCCGAACATGTTATATATGCTCCCCATTGATAAATCATGCGAAGTCCATTGTAGTCTAAAAGTTTTTAGAATTAATGTGTATTATTTAAAATGTACAAAAAATACAAACACTAATTATAAAAATAAACGAAATTGGAATCGTGACTAGAACAAGCTATGCTACATATAATGTTAAGGGGTGAGATATATATTGTGACACTTTTGTCTCTTCTTTAATGAACATGATTATACTTCCCACTAAGCTCTCTTCTTAACTTCTACGCTTTGACAAAGTCATGTGATTTGGCTACGTCCCTATATTTTGTTCCCAATAATGAATAACCTTAATTTCTTCCTCTACCTTCATACTATTTCTGTCCTTGCACTTTTTTTTTTTTACAAAAGCTTTATTAGTCATTAATCTAAGGATTGTACATCTTATAATGAAATTTATTGATCATGTTTAATATAAGATGTTGCTACTACATTTTTGTCTAATAGAGTTTGTCAAACAAGTATGGTGAGATAATTATATAGTTTCGTATAGGGGAAAATATAAATAAATTTATAGGAACATGTGCATTAATGGGCGGTCCGAAGAGTGTGCCACGTGCCCTCCCGCACTGGGCCTCCAAATTTCTAGGGTCCAATTTTATTAGATATTTAGTATTTTAATTACTTGATATTTTTAAATTTAATATAAATTTATGTTTTATTATTCAAATTACACATGGGCCAATCTCATTTTTTTATATTACGGGACTGACCTTGTAAATATTAACTAGAATACATACATGATCTAAAAAAGAAATTATGAACATCATTCCAAAAAATTAGAAAACTAGCTAATTTGGGATGAATTTATTAATAGACTATATTTTGGGATGAAAACTAGCTAATTTGGGATCTAAAAAAGTTTTTCTTACTGAATGAGTTGTCCCTAAATGTTTTACAAAACAAAGCGAAATTTCAAGTTTTTTTAATTCATTTTATTTAAAGATTGATATAAAAATAGAAAACAAAACTTACGTATTTAAAAGCTACTGCAAAAGTTTTACAAAATAAGAGAGAGTTAAAACTTACATATCAAATAATCAATCAAAACGCACATAAGTTAAGAATATAATTTCTTTTGGGATGGAGGGAGTATTAGAAAATACAATGATAGTTACATTCATAACTATCACTATAAGCAAACTAATTGTAGTACTACGTACATTAGAAAATATTTCTTCCGTCCTAAAATCACATACATGTTTTCTATATAATTTATACTTTTTATTTCTATATAAAACCATAGATAAAATAATTTTTTTAAAAAATAGGATTTCGTTAATTATTCGAACAATGTAAGTATATTTGGGAATTGGGATGGAGGAAGTATGTAATCCACAGATGGGCCATGATCATAGCTAGCTGGGTTAGCAGGCTTCGTGTTACTTACTAAACACCATCCGCATTATCAGCCTAAGAAAAATAGCCTACAATTTCGACTTGGGCCTTAAGCCCTAAATGAGCAAAAAAATTTCAAGGCCGGAACAAAATTCATAAGCCTAATGCCAAATCACCATTAGCAACATGTTACGGACTAAATAATTTAGAAAATGGGCCTTTCTTCATCTTCTTTAATTATCGTAGCCCACCATAACTATAATGTTTGGCAAAACCCCCTAACATTTTGGTAATAAGTTAACCCGATTTAACAACACCAACTATTGATAAATTATTCAAATCATTTGTAAACTTGGAACATTTCTTTTATATAGATAAATTTTTGTATGAACGTATATGTCAAATAAGCATTAACTTACTACTGATATAAGTATTTTTAAATATTTTTTTAAATAAGAACAAAAAAATGTGAAAAGGAATGTGTAAACTTTAGATCAATGATAGAACTTTTCATATATATATATATATATATATATATATATATATATATATATATATATATATATATATATATATATATATATATATATATATATATATATATATATATATAAATAT